CCACCACCCCCCCTTCAACCCATTTCTCTTCCCCTCCCACGAACTATTTAACCCTAAACCCCTTCCTTTTTCCTAGGATCTGCTTGGTTGTCTCCTGATTTGTTGTTGTTGTTCATCTCCTACAACCCATCCTCAAATATGAGCTTTTGCTCTGGAGGAGTTGGCTCTGTAGTTTAATGGTCAATTTAGACCAATCCATGGATCACTTGAGCTTGATGCACGGTGGTGGCTTGCTTTCTTGAATCCACGCTCTTCAGATCTCCTTTGTCGGTTCTCATGGACCTTCCTCTACTGGTGGTGATGACAAATCGGGTGGCAACAGTAGCTGCTTAGTTCTTGGGTGTGATTTTAGGATTTGTGTGTGTCTTAGGGTTTTTTATTGTGTTGGGCCTAAATTATGCATATTATGATTGAGCTTTTATTTTGTCTGATTGTGCTTTTGTTTTATTGTTGTGTTTGTTGTATTGGGCTTGTTTGTAACTTGCTAAGCTAATGAAATCTCCATTCCTTCGAAAAAACAAACAAAATCAAACAACAAAGTCAAAGCGCCACAAATTTGGCAAACTACATGTAACAAAATTAACATTTTGCCAAAAAGAGACAAAAAAATCACACACGTGCCTGCCGTCTTTCTCAATAGGCAAATTTCAACGCGTGAGCTATTATCATCTGCAAAACGAGGACTTTCTGTTGCATATACATAGCACAGGAAATTGGAACCAACTTCTTCCGTACGGAAAAGAGAGGGAGTGAGAGTGCAAACCACTCGTTCTGAATCCTCTCTGTCTCTGTTTCTGGCTCTGAGCTTTGCTTTGGAAGAATGGATGTGTTACAGAGCCACCGAGCAGAAATGCTTTTTTTTTTTTTTCCATTTTTTAGTTTCCCTGATAGAATCTTAGAAGCTGATGCATTTTGTGGTACATTAGAAGAATGAACTTGAAATCTAGTTGTTGATTGATGGGTTCAAGCAGATTGTCACTTTGTATGTGCTCCAAGGGATAATGACGTGGTTGAAATATCTTGTTTATTGCTATGATTAAATTTGATTTGTCTTGGGTTTCTTATTTGTTCTGCAAACCCCTAATTCCTACTAGGTGTATGAACCTTTTTTTTTCCTTTCAAATTCAGCCCTATAACATCAAAACATGAGGCTAACTTTAATTAAGAATAAGCTTATTCTTAAATCTAGTCCTTTTACTTAGGTTGGTAGGGGGCCTATGCTTTGACAATTTATTGGAGTGCCACTAGGTTTATTATTTTAGAAACTTAGACCTAGGTTCTAGATTGCAATTTTGGTTCAGATAAGTGTGCTTTTATGTTGTTATGGTGTTAGGAACAGGATAAATAGAAGTTTTAGATTTGAAACTAGAAAGGGTGAGTGGCAGTTGATAAAAGTGTGATTAGGTTGATTATTTACTAACGAATATCATATCGAGCAGGGTGCCTTTACTAAAGCTATTTGATTACCATCATCATATTGGTCAGACTATGTCTGTCTGCACAGTTTAAATAATCAAATGGTTTCTGATTTTACTGATCTTTTGAAGGTTGATCCTTGATGAACCTAAAAGATAGTCGTTTACGATTGTTGAACTCCCAGATATATGTATATATACACTATATCTGTGTGTGCACTACATGCAACCAGTATCTGTTGCATCCATATTGAAAAGCCACATAGGGCAAGTGTGGACCTTCAAACGTACAGGGGCCAAAGGATTACATGAAAAATTTAACTAAAACCGAATGGAAGGAAATATATTTGATATCGTGAAGACATTCAATGGAACAATTTGCAGACAACTGATATTTATATCATAATTTTTTTTTTTAACAGGAATAACCTGCACTTTACAAAAACAGTGTTGTATGAAGCATATGAGCCATGATTTGTATTTTATATAAGATTACAGATGATTTCCATCATGCATGGCAATTTACTATTTTTACCATCTATGGCATTCACCATTCTGTACTTTAAATGTCATATCTCCAAGACAACATGAAGTCCAACTTTCAAGCAATTTATCTAGTTGATTAACATTTGTTTTCTCTATATGCTCCATATTAGAGTTTCTGTTGATATGTGTTTGCAGAATGTTCCTAACACACCATGTGTCTTCTTAGGTTGCTTGGATCCTGAGAAATTCAAGGACTTTAAACTTGTTAAACGCACTCAGCTCAGCCATAATGTGGCTAAATTTAAATTTGCTCTTCCAACACCAACATCAGTGTTGGGACTTCCTATTGGACAGCATATTAGTTGCAGGTTTGATTGGTTGGTTTTCTGTAGTATAATCCAGTTCCATGCTTTTCCTTTTCTTTTAACAGGTCATGTTTAGTTTTAACATGTTTGATACTTCTATAATCTTGTATGCTTGACTTATGATCTATCACGGTAGTTTCTCGACTCATTGTTTTTTCATACAGAGGAAAAGATAGCCTTAATGAAGACGTTGTCAAACCATATACCCCAACAACTTTGGATTCAGATGTTGGATACTTTGAATTAGTCATAAAGGTATTTATTTTTCTCATTGTTGTTTCGTAAACAGTTAATGTTTGTATGCCATTAGACATATAACTGGTGGTACATTTTCTCACAAATCACTTATCCTTCTTGGCCTATTTTACATTGATTTGATAATTTTTAAACTTTTTTTATCTTGTGCGTAGATGTATCCACAAGGAAGGATGTCTCAACATTTTCAAGTGATGCGTGAAGGTGACTATCTGGCGGTAAAAGGACCTAAGGTAAATTTTTGCCTCTTATCAAGTCTACATATCAACTAAAAGAACCAAGAAGTACAAAGTTGAAGTACAGAAAGAGATCGATTCCATTTAGCATTAAAACCCATTGGTCAAACAGATTTTCCAGTCCTCCATATCATCGGGGATAATCTGGATGCAGTTTTAGGCCCAAGCTTTAAGGATGTAAAACTTGGACCAATCAGTCTATCTTCTACAGAATTTTGAATCATTCACCACCTTAACTAGCACCTCCCTACAGGCTACATGTGAGTCCCAAGACTTAAGCTAGGAACTTCAAATCCCTTCCAAATAAACTAACAGGTCTATGAAAACTAACATTGGAAGTTTCCACTTTCTTAGGAATTACTGCAATTATTGAACCATTCAAAGTCAATATGCTTTTAAAATCTCTAGGATGCAGAGAAAGCAGGAAATGTGTTTATAATTTTATCCCTGATGAGTTTGCAATACACCATATTAATCTTTTAGTCCGGGTGGAGCACCTTCATTCAGTCCCCTCAGGGACTACTTCCTTTTCAGAAGATCTCTGAGATGATGATCTATCCACATTAATATAAGAAACCTGAATCCTAGAAGTCTGATTTACCAATATTAAAAATTACACTCTTTATTCCTTAGTAAGCTAATTTAGTTAAAATTATGCCTCCAGGGACGATTCAAGTATCAGCCTAACCAAGTTAGAGCTTTTGGGATGCTAGCTGGAGGCACTGGCATCACTCCGATGTTCCAGGTATGTAATTTAGTGGAGCTTTAACTTTACACAAGGCCCTTTTCTTCTTTCTGTGCCACATATCATTTGAGTGGTATAACTTCTCTTCTTTGTCTTTCTGGTTTGACAGGTTGCCAGAGCCATATTGGAAAATCCTAGTGACAGAACAAATGTACATCTTATATATGCCAATGTCACATATGAGGACATTCTATTGAAAGTAAAACTCACTCTCTCTCTCTCTCTCTCTCTCTCTCTCACAATACACATGCATATTGAAAGTTTATATCATTTAGTATCTTTATCTATTTGTCCAGTTAATATGTTCTGAAAAATTCAAAATAATATGAGTAGAGAGGCCTAATAAAAAAAATTAGTTCAGGCCTGTTCGGTAGTTCTCCCACTCGGAAATGAGTGTGATTTGCAGTTAGTTTAACTTTAGAATGTTTTGCAGAGTCCTCTATTCATCTCTAAGTATTCATATCATTAAAAAGAAAAAAGTATTATCATACACATTGAAACGTCAATGAGTCTGATAAGGCCTTTTCAGACACTTACTAAGCAAAAAAAAAAAAAGTTTAATAGGAAAAAAAACCCTTATTGTGACATCATTCCAGACACAAGATATATAGTATTTGTTACTTTTCTAACTTTCCAGTATTGCATCGAAAAAAAAAATTGCACTTGAGCTTACCTCTTATTTTCATCCATGAAAAGTTGGGCTTAGGGGAGGATGAGGGCAGTGCAGAACTTATAATAACAGTGTAATACCAAGCCAAAGTAGTTATTAACTAATAAAATGCTTAAAAGGTTACACTGTTATTCTGGTATGAGGCTGTAGGTGCTCATCATTGACACGTATATTGTAAGGTGTCTTTTTACCAATGCTTTCAAGAGATGGGATCATTTCTTGTTAGCACATGTAGAAATAATATCTTTCAAAAAGAAAAAATGGAAAATGTGAAGAAAACATAGGAAATGATATTTTAGGAGATCTTTATTTAATCAATTATCTTTTGTACTTTACCACAAAAGAAAAAAAAAATTGAATAAGCTTAAGTATGTAGTAGCTTTATGTGATTTAGCCAGCGGGCACTGCAAGCACTGTTATTCAGTTAATGTTTACTTGTTACTGACATCAGACTGGATATAGCTAGTTTTTATTTATTTACAAAGATGTAATGTATTTTTGTACATTTACACTTTGCTTAGTTTTCATGAGAAACATGGTATCGTTCTTATGTAAATAATGAGGATGTGTATTACGAGACTTTATTACCCAATTAAAAAAATCACAATCATTTTTAGGGAGGTTCTTCTATTATGGATAAATTGTTAGGAAAAATTCGAAGAATGAGGTCTATAAAAAATGTAAATGGAAGTAGATGAAAAAAAAAATGATATGGGATTAGATGATGATGATATTTTTCTTCTGCACAACATTTATTATTTAATTTAGTTTGTGTCATGCATGTAGTAAGGTAATTGCCTGTCCTAGAATCTATAAAATTGGGAGATTTTGACTCTTGTATTAAATTTGTATAAACTGTGTCTTTGCAGGAAGAGTTGGATAATCTTTCCAGTAACTTTCCCAATCGTTTCAACATTTATTATGTTTTGAATCAGGTATCTATAATTTCTTTTGAAGCCACTCTTATATCTGTAACGTTCCAAGTTGATAAGTTGCATTTCCTCTCTGTTCACCGCATTACTCTTTCAATTCTTTTTCTATTTTTTTCCAATTACCTAGAGAACTAGGTTTAACATAACCAGTCTAAGATCAGTTCAATTTTCTTGGATTATGAACTCTTTTTGGGAGTTATAAAATGGACATAGATGCTGTTTGAGTAGAGCAAAAGGGAAGTAGTTTGTGTTGCGGTCAATTCATACCAGTATCTTACATCTATGGATAACAATATATGTTTTCAATGCTAATCTGAATTGTACTGTACCCTAATGTGGTACACATAATACGATGGGAGCTAAATATTGTCAAACTAGCATCAAGGCTCAGGTAATTCTGCAAAGTTTTTTTTACAAAGGCTTTAGGTATACCGAAAAGTTGTTAGCATCAAAATGTGATAGACCACCTCAGATGGTTTTACTTATTGGTGTCAATTGACATTAACCCAATTATCATTCCGCCGTAGTTTGACATTGTGGGAGCTTTCTACAAATTTCTATGTTGTCATTATATGTGGATCATCCTGAAATAGTATAGAGATCATGGTTCATGGGGGCTCATAGTAGTCTCATACTTTGAAGATGATAAAAACCACAACAATTCTGAATAAAATTCTTTCATGAAATGGCTTTCTTCTTTTCAGATTTATATTGTAGAAGTTGAAAAAAAGTTCTTTTCGTTTCAGAATAAGTTGAATAAGTTACAACTCTTTGTTTTGAGCTACTAGCCTTGCTATTGTCTACGAGTACCTGATTAGTGTTTATTGAATTCATTTGATTGTACTTGAGTTTGATCTAGGGATAAAGATCAAACCCGCTCAAAAATAGGTAGTCTAGAGTTGGATCCCTCACATCAGTCTGACAGTTTGAAAGACAGCTCAGAAATTTTAGTCTGTATAAGTGTCATTTTAGATTCTGTTGAACATGATATACGCCATTTAAAACTCAATGTCTTAAGGGTTACTACATCTATATATATATATATATATATATATGGAAAGCACTATTGAGGCATACAATCAACCGCTCAAAACTGGGGCCACAGATGTTTTGCAGCTTAGGGCAATGTTCAGCTAGGCCAATCCTAACGAGAAATTTGGTCCCAACAGATTTTAAATGAAATCATTCTCATTCATTTTCTGGCAATCAATTTGACAATTTCAACTTTTGGAGTGTAACCCTCATTATATCTTATGCATCATGTTTTCTTGAAGTCCTATAGTTGACTGGGTACATGTAATTGATATTTAAAGTGCAAGAAGAAAACATTGTTATATTGAAATGGATTTCTGTCGTTTATGGCCGAATGTTTCCAGTTGCTCCGTGATAGTAAAACACTAAAACGTTCTGGTTTGGTGCTATATGCACCAACCTTCAATTTTTTTTTCTGTCTTCTGTCCTTGAAAAATTGACTTGCATAATTCCATGAAACATGTTTTGCTTCTATTTTTTTGTTCATTTCTAATAATTAATCTTAAATACCATCATCAGCCTCCTGAAATTTGGCAAGGTGGTGTTGGGTTCATATCAAAGGAAATTATTCAAACTTACTGCCCTGCACCAGCACCTGATATTAAGGTAACTACTTCTATTTGGTAACCTCTCTCTGTCTGTCTCTCGGTCTCTCTGTCTCTCACATAATTCCAAACCTTGATGTTTCCAGATTTTAAGATGTGGGCCACCGCCCATGAACAAAGCTATGGCTGCTAACCTCGAGAGTCTGGGATACAGTCCGGAAATGCAGTTCCAGTTTTAGGTCTTTGCTGGAGCTCTCCAATGGGGTTTCCTATCCCTAGCATAAATAAAGGATTTTTATTTAGGATTACATGACATTTGAAAATGAGAGTGTAGCTTGAAGAGGTTCCTGCATTGTCCTTAATAGTTAAACATGGTTTAAAAAAAAGTGCAGAACAAGCTTCTGACTTCTCTGCTATAAGCTCTCTAGTTTTTAAGGTAAAGAATATTTTAGTAGACTTATTGCGGTGCCACTGAAAATGAGCAACATGATGCATAGGGTTTTTTGCAGTGCCCGTAGTTCCCTTATTTCTTTTCGACCGTATCAAGAAGGTAGTTGAGAGTTTTTTCTTCAATTGAACATTTATTATTTTAAATTCTGGAACTGAAGTGTTGTATGTTTACTTGATTAAAAATAATGCTAGCAGCCTTTATAGCATATAAATTGTTCTGGCATTTATGTAGATGCAAGTTTTTAATATCATGTAGCAATCCAATCCAGCTTATGGAGCAGTCTAACTCTCTGGACACAACAGAATCAAAATGTTTCTGATGGAGGATGAGCTTGATCTGGGGCCTGGCCTCTTTTCTCCATGTAGGCATGATATTTTTTTATTAGAATCTGATGCTCTTGCTAACGTATGTTGATGAAATAAGGCTGCTTCTCAGCAAACCCTATTCAATCATTGGTGATTCAATATAAGGCAGGACTCACTTAGCTCACCTCTACAAAATTCTTCAAGCTTAGCCTGAAACACCAGTGAGAAGCTTTGAAAAATGGAGAAAACTCACTCTCACCTTATGCAATGCAAATTTTGAGTAGTTTGAATGGGATGAGACTATTTCTGACATTTTGAATCTTTCAGAAACTGAGCAGACTAACTTGAAAGAATCCTAACAAGCGTTCAATCAGGCATTTTCATTTTCATTTTCACAAATTCATTCTTCCTCCAACCAAGGTTCCGGGCAATGCTTTTGGTCAACGACAATTCACCCCTCCAACTAACTGGCTCTTAGTCTGGTGTACATCGAGCTCTCCTTTCTCTCCCCCGTTGATATGAAAGGCCTCAGCAATTGGAAAATGAAATTTGATGTTGAAGAAGATATCAATCCAGAAATGGTAGATGTTTGATTTTTCTCGAAGTGCTCGCCAGTCGAAATTTGTGGACTCTTCGAAAGATTGAGTGGGATAAACAGGGGCCATTTGGGAGAATTTTAAGGTGCGAAAAGCGCTTTTATTTAAAAGCGTTAAGCACATTTTAGTCCATTGCAGAAAGCACTTCCAACGGAACTTGTAATAAATGATTCAACATGCTTCTAACAAGAGCACTTCCAGAACGGCTAACAAGCAGAAGCACTTCCTACAGAAGCACGCCTAGACAGGCTATGCTACCGCATATCCTAAAAACGCCGCGAATACAAATTTCATCATGCATTGAGAGAACAGGGGGTAGAGGAGGGAAAATGGACCTAGAGGTCCCAAAATTAGTTTTAGTTCAATGCCAGAACAAAAACACCAGTGAAATATATCACAACTCTTGCTCTTTAAACTTAACCACAGGTACGTTGCAGCTACCCGCAAGTTACTACTTTGCACATCCAACTAACATAAGACACTATCATTCTCAGAATCCACAAACAGTTCTCAGCCATTTGAGAAGCGAATCATTCAGGTATGCAAGTTGATACAGCCATATTCATCAGTCCATTCAAATGGAAGTACAAATTGTAAGCACACCATAAACCAGAATGACAAAACTGTATGCTTTAACCACCTTTGAGAAAACTCTCACAACTATCGCCTTCGCATCCCGCGCCCACGACCACGAAGACCACCTCCACGCCCTCTACCTCCCATGGCACTCGCAGCAGCTTCTCCCTGCGCACTCTCGGACTGCATTATCAACATTAATAGTTAGAGCATTAAACAGCTGAAATTGAAGATAATTATAAAACTTAAAACATGTAGTCAAATACAAATTTATTTTATTTTATTTTGTTTGATTTTGTTTTGTTTATTTATACATATGAAACATCTGACAAGCCAAGGAGGACCATACAGAGAATTGTTTTCAAGTATCACATCAAAACAGACAATCTCTGAAGGGTTACGATATTACAGAAATGCAAGACCATACTGAGTCCACCAGTTTGGTCTTTCTCCTAGGAAAAAAATAGTCCAATAAATGAGATTTTGCTTCTCGATTGACAAAATTTGTTGGACAAGCAATCAACTCTATTTCTAGAAAAGGAAAACTGTTTTCTCCTTTGAAACCCAATGCAGATGACATAAGAGGGAAAGATGATGATTAGTAACGGACAAACAAACTACTTCAAAGAAAATTTCAAAGTGAGCTAAGGCATATTTAATCACCTAGAAACAGAAAACAGATTTCACATTACCTTAGGATTTTTTACTGTCTCATCGACACTTAAAACAAGGCAAGCAGCCTCTGTAGCAGCATTTATAGCATTGATCTACAGGGGAAAAAACAATGTTATATAAATTGCCACATGATGTTAAAAACTAAAAAATTACCAAGTCGTGTGTGACTCTATGCTGTTAAAAAGATAACAGGAATACCTTCACAACTGCTGGCTCCCAGACAAAGTTAGCAAATGAATCAGCAATTCCACCTGTGTTGATGTCCACTCCATAAAGTGCACCCTCACCTGTTAAAAACTTTGACTATTTTAGCAAACAAATAATAAAATAAACAGATAAACAAGGTCAAATAAAATGAGAGCTCAACCAGATGGAAGCGCATGTTTCTGTCTAAGTTTGTTTAACACATCAGTCGCATCAAATCCCGCATTGTCACAGAGTTGTCGTGGGATAACCTGCAACATAAGCAGAACTCTGCTAATTAAAACACAGCATGCTCTTCATTCAAAGTATAAGTATCACACTCCCATTCGTAGTAGAAAGGAAGTGTGTATTCTTTACATTCTAAAGAAAAGCCTCAGACTTTATAGTTCCAGTATACAAATATTAATGTATCATGCTCATGGTCCAACACTATTAACGGTGGTTATCTCTCACAGAAAGACACTCCATAACAAATGAAATTAGAATCTAGAGTTCCATGAGAACTCAATGGACACATTCCCCATCCTATAATGTCAAAACCAGATAATTTACACATCAATTATATCCCACACAAGCAGCATGTGTATCTTTCTTTAATAAGAAACACAATATTTATTCAGAGATTTAGAGAAAACAACAGAAGAAACACAAAAACGAAAAAGAGAACCTAAACCAACAGACAGAATCCTTAACAATGCCACTAATCCAGTCTGCTGCCACTCTCAATATAAATCCCTATAACCCCATCACTGAAAATAAAAATAAAAACCTTCATAACATAAACAGAATAGGCTAAATCCTATCTTACTAAACTACATGACAATAGCAGTACCAACATTTGGTGCTTGAGGGAATAGTTACCCCAGCTACTTTGAAGTACTTAAACTGTTCTACTCCTTGCAAAGCCCAACCAAATGAAATATTAAAAACCCAGAGCTCTATTGCTTATGAACAGCTCATTAACATTGTGTCTGAGTTAAAATCCAGGCGAGCAGCTTAAAAAAGTGACTAAACCTAAAAAATGCTAAACTAACAAGTCTAAACATAAAGTTTTTAAAACAACTAATTTCTAGCTGCAAATCCTGCGAAGCCCAAAACAACCTTGTTGCTCATGTGAGACTTTCATTGAAGTTCCAACGAACACCATTGAGAATTGACTGAAATACTTGGATCAAGGCAAATGCTACATTATTCCACATATAGAAACCAACTTTCTCCAAAGATATTTACAATATCACTTGCACAAATTTGCCTCATGATACTACATTACTGCTCATATACAACCGAAGATGATTCCTGATAATAGATATATCAACTAGATTATATGTTTAATTTTAAATTTTCAAACTAAATATTGATTTGGAAATTGTGCATGCGTGAGTCCATCTCCATTTTCCATTTCAATGTGTTTAGAAAACAGAAGCAGATATCATACATATTAGACAAATTTTTTGGGGGTCCCTTAAATTCTACATCAAGTGCAGTTTTGGCACTGGTTTAAACCACTATTGCATAACAGGAAAGCCCAACAGAGCATACCTCAAGAGCTTTTGCATACGAGTTAATGAAAAGCTGAGACTTTCCAGTAATTTTGCGTGCTTTCTGCCACAAGTACCGGCTGATCTCCATCTGCCACCATAATCAACAAAACAATCACCAACTCATACAATATTTCTCAGATAAACTTTGAGATCTCACTATTGCTAAGAAACACATACATCTATAGCACCACCACCAGCAACTACAGTCGAATTCTTTAGCGCTCTTCTAACAATCATGATAGCATCATGTAAACTCCGCTCAGCTTCCTCAATGAACTAAGAATCCAAAAGAATATCCCAGGTCAGCATCGACAAAACAAAACTTCAAAAATGAAGAAAGAAACAAAGAGAACTTTTGAACACATGCCAAAATGAGTAACCCTCAACAAATGCAATACCTGATCAGCTCCACCACGAAGAACAATTGTAGCTGTCCTACCCGACGGACATCCACTAAATATATTAAACCTCTCATTTCCAACTTGCTTTTCCTCGAAACACTCGCATGTTCCAAGGACCTAGAAATACACAGAACTAAAAAGTTTCAGTTGACAAAGAGCAAAAGAAATGTTTCTCAACTATAGAAGGGCACTAACATAAGAACTCTTGGACAAAAATGCCCACAATTCTACTCTAAAATATGGTCTGACAGAGCATGAGGTAGGAACCTCATCAATAACATTGTTGATGGATGTCTGCACAGTGCCACCAGTGGCAGCAGCTACCCGTTGGAGATCTTCTTCAGTTACACGCCCAGCACAGAATATATCTCTATCTGCAAAATACTGTTCACCCAAAAAAGGAGTGTAAATTAAACTCCACATCTTTAACATGGTCATAGAGATACTCTTCACTTGAAATCACAAAAGAATTAACCATATTTTCAACTGAATTACCACAATGATATAAATCTATTCACATGCATATCTACAAACCTTGAAACTTCATAATGCCATGCAATTTCACTGTTGTCAAAACCAAACAACCAAATTTCATGCATACTAAAACAACTCATAGAGCTAAGTATGGATTTAAAATTTCCAGCAGTTACATGAATATTGTGTTCTTGTGAAATGGTGAAATTGCAGAATCAGGGATAAAACATACTACCACCCTAAATTGAGGGGAAGTTTGTGTTTTTGACTGATCAAACAAAACTCTCTGAAATCTATATGCACTTTGTAAGATATGTTCTTATTACCACAATGATATAAATCTATTCACATG